GCACCCAGCAGCAGGTCCCCAGCTAGCCCGGGGAGAGGGCTGCGGGGCTGGGACTGCTCCCAGGAGGTTTGCAGGCAGCGCCTGCTGGGGTCTTGGAGTTCCTGGGTGGTGGTGGGTTTCTGCCAGGGGCTGGCCAGTCACTGTCCCCAGGCCCCGTGGGGCCAAGGACCCTGCTTAGGGCAGCAGGGGGTCCCCGAGCACGTCGCCCTCCTCTCTGCCCTGCTCACGCTCTCTCTGTCTCTCTGTCTGTCTCTGTCTCTCTCTCGCAGCTGCCGGCGTCATTTTTGTGATTTGCAGCTAGTAATCTGGCTCCAGTTGCATAGTCACAAAAGTGATCGTTGGCAGCCGTGCCTGCTGCATGGAGCATGCCGGGAGCCCCGCCGGCGCCTGGCCCCCAGCTTCGTGCCCCACCGGACCAGAGCTGCTCCCTTGAGTGTCCTGCCACTGCTCCCCTCCCCAGGCTGGGCACCCAAGGAGCCGGGCTCCTCTCCTGGCCCCTTTCTACCCATGGTCCCCCAGCCCATGCCCAGCACCGCTGGGGAGGCAGGAGGAGCCGTGTGCCAGACCCCCAGGGCCACATCACGGAGTGCCCGCTGCCCCCGCCCCCGGCTCGGCACAGCAAGGGACACCTATCGCAGCCTTGTCCCCGGCATGGCAGGGTACTGACCTGCTCCCTCTTGTCCTTGCAGGAAGGTGAACAAGTGCTACCGGGGTCGCTCCTGCCCTATTATCGTGCACTGCAGGTACCGCTGGGGATGGAGGTGGGGTATGGGCTAGGGGGTGGCTGCAAGGCTGGGACCTGCGGGTAAGGACCAGTCCCTGGAGCCTGTCCCCCTGGTCCAAGCGTCTGTGTCTTGCAGCGATGGTGCAGGCAGGACTGGGACATATATCCTCGTTGACATGGTCCTGAACCGAATGGCCAAAGGTAGGTGCAGAGCAGCACCACTTCTGCCCTGTCCGGGGGGTACGAGGCCATCTGCTCGGCCCGTGGACCCCCTCCTAGCGCCCTTCTCCCCCTCTGCCCCAGGGGTGAAGGAGATAGACATAGCTGCTACGCTGGAGCACATCCGAGATCAGCGGCCCGGCATGGTGCAGACCAAGGTACCCCCTCAAACTGGGGATCCCTTCCCTCCCTGAGCACACACAGCCCCTCGGGCTGGGCTGATGGGGACCCTCACGCCGCCTTCCTCTGCTCCCCCAGGACCAGTTTGAGTTTGCGCTGACAGCCGTGGCCGAGGAAGTGAATGACATCCTGAAGGCGCCGGCGCCGGGATTGCGAGGCGACTTCCCCT